CAATTCGCCAATTTTCACTCAGTTTCACCATTTTTGTAACCCATGACAATTATCTTTTCAACGTTACGAATTTGTTTTACACTACATCAGTTCATGTGTAAACAGTACTTTTAAACAGTATGGAAAATTTTGCAAAATCTAGTTTAGAAGAGTTGACTTTAGTTAGTGGCTACATTTACACTAGTGAGTCTAAACTTTTGATGAGGAGTATATTTCACTACTGGATATACGGGCTCAGTTCCACCGCTTGCTTCATGGTTATAGATGTACATTGTGGAAACGTACAAGCGTTAGATGTCACTGTAGGTAGCCTATATAGCCTGTCTCACAGTCCCTGAACCACATTAATTTCCCTACTGCCAAGCCCTCTCTGCAGTGCTAAAGCCCTAAATAAAGCAAGTCTAAATTTCCTCAGGTTCAGAATCTCTGGTCTCCCTAGGGCTCCTTTTCAGTATAAATGGGCTTGTTTGTTACTATCAAAATTTTATATATTCAGAGACTAAGCCTTAGTCTAGTAGACTATACTGTAGGTCACTGTAGGGCAAGACAATAGAAACGTCACACATAACGTTAATGCATAATTATAGTTTCACAATTTCAGAGTTATGTTAAAAGAAAATATACAATCACGAAACAATTAAATTCTTTTAATATATCTATTTACATGAGCCTTGTATTGGCATCAGGCTCCGAACGCGTCCCGCGTTGACAAGTAAGATCGATGCTCATGATGTCAATCACTGGATAGGCCGGTCCAGATTTAATTATTTACAGATCATACAGCAGGAAAATCAATTAGCGCAGCATTAATGAGTGAGTGAGTGAGTTTAGTTTTACGCCACACTCAGCAATATTCCAGCTATATGGCGGCGGTCTGTAAATAATCGTGTCTGGACCAGACAATCCAGTGATCAACAGCATGAGCATCGATCTGCGCAATTGGGAACCGATGACATGTGTCAACCAAGTCAGCGAGCCTGACCACCCGATCCCGACGCCTTTTACGATGTTGATCGCCGTTAGTCGCCGACTATGCCTTTTACGACAAGCATAGTCGCCTTTTATGACAAAAATGGGTTGCTGAAGACCCCGGATCTTCACGGGTTAGCGCAGCATTAAGTTAAAATACAAACAATATACTTTTAGGTGTCGCTTCACCTGGTAGCACCAGTATGAATAAGAGTTCGTGAGTAAGGTTTTACGTTGTTTCGGCAATATTCCGACAATATCGAGGCGAGGAACACCGGAAATGGGCTTAATGCATTGTATTAATGTGGTCAATCGTTATCCAGCGATCGCTTTAAGCCTCAAGGATACCCCACATCCCGGACAATCAGAATGATACAGACACAATAGTTTTGAAATCAGTAGTACTATTCAGCCTGACGTCTTGACAATTACTGATGGCAACGTGTATAATTAAAGGGCATTTACTTTTTAAGTTTTAAAGGAATATCATATTATGTTTTTGTCATGTCTGGCATCGCGTGTATTGGGAATTAGTTTTAAAAAGACCCCCTTACACTTCCAATATGTGTAACCCCGTGAAGGTCATCGGGTGGTCAGACTCGCTGACTTGGTTGACACATGTCATCGGTTCCCAATTGCGCAGATCGATGCTCATGCTGTTAATAACTGGATTGTCTGTTCCAGACTCGATTATTTACAGACAGTCGCCATAAAGCTGGAATATTGCTGAGTGAGGCGTCAAACTAACCTCACTCATTCCAATCTTTGCATTCCCAGATGTGCATCACCTTGCACATTTGTTCCCACAAGAGGTACACAAGAGGGACAGTTTGACTTTTATTACTTATAATATCCAATGTTTTAAATATTTAGCCAGCATCATAGAGTTATCTTGTTAGGATCGTCATAAAACATGAAAGCGACAAAACCATGTACGGTAATCACAATACATCTTTGCTAAGAGGCTACTGTAGGATTCCGATTGTATCATAGGCAAGAGTTTACGATTCTTGACAGAATGACACTAGCTATAGGAGTTTCGGAGGTGTCTTGTCTCTAAAATGGCACCGTCCCAAACACATGCAAAGGCCAGTCAAGTGTTCCACAGAAATACACATGGTAAAGGATTGCATCAAACACTATTTATGTCACATGTACGTCCAAATTTGAAATGCCTTCCCCATATATACCATTAAAACGTTTAATAGCTAAACTGAGGCGTGCAATTTTGGAAATCTTGATTAAGTTACTTTCTAGAAAGAGTCGAATGACGCTCTTTAAGGCTTCAGACAGAACAGTTGTATTTTCACAAATTGTCTTGGACCTCTAAAATATATAACTGTATCTAAGGCCATCACAGGGGCGGTGGGGTAGCCTAGTGGTTAAAGAGTTCGCCCGTCACGCCAAAGAGCCGGGTTCGATTCCTCACATGGGTACAATGCTTAAAGCCCATTTCTGGCGTCCCCTGCCGTGATATTGCTATATTGCTGAAATGCGGCGTAAAACCATACTCACTCACTAAGGTCATCACCTTTTGTAACAAAAGCTATATGCATCGCATGACTCAAATTATTCAATACAGTTGTGTAGATTAAGTACCGTATTAACGATGGTTCTTCCATCATTCATTCATAGAATACTACTTAAAGTTTTGTGGTGAGTAGGTTTTCACAAGAACGCTGGAATGCTAACAGCTAGTTTTGGCCCAAATGTCTCGAGGCGTGAGTGTGTTTGTAAACTTGAGACAAACGAAGCGTCAAAGTTGAAAGAAGATGCCTTTTCACAAGGTTTATTTTTAACCAATCATAGTCCTCAAGAATATAAATAGATCGGAAGAGGAAGAAAAAATCATATTAATATTTTTTTCAACATCATATTCCGTTATCTTGATTAAAGTTTTGTAAGTTTGCTCTTTGAATACCAGATTGCATTACTTAATTGGTCTTGTCATTAGTTTAACTTCTTTTTAACTTCAAAGAACGTTGCCGTGGTAAATAATTTCGAAACAAATTAAGCGAATTTGATTCGTTATCATTGAGAAGAGCGATCTAAAGGAGTCTGCTGTAAAATCAATAGATGTGCAAGAAGAAGCTTAACAGCTATGTTCGTGTCCTGTTATGCTTTTAGTAATCACGATTATGTCATTTTACAAAATGCTAAATTAGTGAGCATCCACTGAGGTGGACCAAGGTGACTCGGCGGTTTAAAGAGCCACAGCTAATATAACCACGAGCTTCTGATCAGGTGGAGCCAGGAAGGTGACAGTTTAAAGAGCAACATCTTGTGGAACCACGAACTTCTGATCAGGTGGAGCTAGGAAGGTGACAGTTTAAAGAGCCATAGCTTGTGGAACCACGAACTTCTGATCAGGTGGAGCTAGGAACCTAGCAGTTTAAAGAAACACATCTCATAAAGTCAAGAACTGCTGTTACTTTAAACCTGTGTGATTGGCAGTTTAAACAAGAGCAACTCACATATGCAGGATTCGCTGATACGGTACACAGGGGTGACAGCTCATATAAACAGCAGCTGCTGATTAGGTGCACCCGGGTGACCGGCAGTTAAAAGAGCTATAGGTCATGTAACCAGGATCCATCGATATGGTAGGCCACGATGACTCGGCGGTTTAAACAACAGCAACTCACATAACCAGGATCCGCTGATACGGTGGATCAAAGTGACAGGGCTGTGTGAAAAAACGTAACTCCTATGGCCATGGCTGGCTGACATCGTGAACCAGGGTGACGGTTGTGTGAAGATCTGTTATTCATATAACCAGGATCCGCTGACAGTGATCCAATGTGACTCGGTTGTGCTAGGAACAGTCAGTAAAGTAATCAGGATCCGCTGATACAGTTGGCCAAGGTCACTTGGTTGTATGAAGAACCGTCAACCGGTTCGGGTGCGGTGAGGACCAATGCTGGTTCAGTGGACCAAGAGGTTTGGGTGTATGAGGAACAGTCTCTTAATGAGCCAGGATCCGCTGATTCTGTGGACGAGGACCCGTCTCTTAAGTCCGCTGTTCGGTGTGGTTCGGGTGTATTGGGAACCGTCACCGAAGGACCCGCTGTCGTTCGGTGGTTCGGGAGTATGAGGAACCGTCTCTTAAGGAGCCAGGATCCGCTGATTCAGTGGACCAATGTGGTTCGGGTGTATGAGGAACCGTCCCTTAATGAGCCAGGATCCGCTGATTCAATGGACCAAGGTGGCTCGGTTGTTTAGGGAACATCAGTCAAGTAACCGAAAGCCGCTGATCAGGTGAACATACGTGACTCGTCTGAGTGAAACCATGACTCTTATCTCCCAGTATCACCTAATGAAAAGCCAAAGTATCCGTTACAAACCCGTGAAGGTCCGGGTTAGAATGAACCCCCAGTAACCCATGCTTGTCGTCAGAGGCGACTAACGGGATCGGGTGGTCAAGCTCGCTGACTTGGTTGACACATGTCATCGGTTCCCAATTGTGCAGATCGATGCTCATGCTGTTGATCACCGGATTGCCTGGTCCAGACTCGATTGTTTACATACATATAGCAGCGTAAACTAAACTCACTCACTCACGTTACAACAGTTCTTTACCTAAGTGACATGAAAGCGAAATACGATGACAGAAGCATATAATCTTGTATCACGGTACAGCGGTATCAGCTTCTTCATTTTTTCACACGACTCCAAAAAATAATCTTTTACCAATCTCCAAAAACATACATGCACATGCCCTTATTCTAAATACAATATGAACTTCGTCGGAATGCAATGATAAATCTTAATTCTGTAACAAGATCCCGGCGCGTGCTAAACATGAAACGGGATACCTGATATTCAATTTTCAGCTTCATGAACCAATAACTAAGTAAGCATCATTTTACAAAGTATGATAACATTTCAAAGAAGATTTAAATACACGCTGCCCACTTACGTTCACTTCTTTCTCATGATAACGTCTAATCTCGTATCCGCAGATCATTTGCGCTGATTCGGAGAGGCTATAGAGTATAACTGATAGTAATCGGATTGTTTCACTCTTTCAGGCAGTGCTGAAGAAATGAAGATCATACTAGCCCTCACGATCGCCACGGTTATCTCCCTTGTTGATTCGAACGAGGAGTTGGGAACAGATGCTGATAGAGACAAGAGAAGTTCCACATTAGACCGAATGCCTTTACACTATGGAAAGAGAATACCCTCCAGATCGCTCCGGTCCGTCTTAGACAGAATGTCAGTTGGATATGGGAAGAGGGATTCAAATGAAGGATATGAAAGGTGAGATACATTCCCATTTATTCTCATACGAAGTAGGGGCGGTGGGGTAGCCTAATGGTTAAAGCGTTGGCTCGTCACGCTGAAGACCCGGGTTCGAATCCCCACATGGGTACAATGTGTGAAGCTCATTTCTGGTGTCCCCCGCCGTGATGTTGCTGGAATATTGCTAAAAGCGGCGTACAACCAAACTCAGTCAGTCAGTCATACGAAGTATTCAATTAAAAACGAAATGTGTTGTAAAGTTGAGGGTGTAGATGGAAGTGTTAAAACAAAATTGAAGTTTGAACTATATTTGATGCAATGTTGCACCGACATGCACATATTATTGTATTCTGAATTGTATTCAACAATTGTATTCAAATCAGTTGAAGATTCTTGATTCGATTTTGCTATTGAGTATCTCATTGTCGGTGCACTGTCATTAAAATAATTGCCAGGGAATGAATATTTTGAATGAATCAAATTAATCACGTTCTATTTGAAGGGTACTAACGACGGTTGAGGAATTGGCAGCTATGATTTCTTCACAACCAGAGTTGGCACAGAAGTTTGTTCGCAGCTTCATTGATACAAATGGTAAGCTGCGATATTTACTATTCTCTCTGCCCTGCAGTTAACGATTCCCAGTGCAATGAAGAACGACTTAACGCCCCATTTGCTCTCATAACCTTCTCCTCGCTGCAGTCAATAATTCCCACCAGAGAAGACCCTAACCAATGCCCTATTGTTCCCTAAACCATTCCATCGATGTACCAAACGGTTGCTGGTGTATTAAGGTCCAATTTGCTCTCATAACCTTCTCCGCGCTGCAGTCAATAATTCCCACCAGAGAAGACCCTTTCTAATGTCACATTGTTCCCCGAATCTTTCCATGGTTGTAACAAACAGTTTCTAGTGTATTAAGAAGCTAGTTAACGTCCAATTTGCTCTCATAATCTTCTCCGTGATGCAGTCAATAATTCCCACCAGAGAAGACCCTAACTAATGTCCTATTGTTCCCTAAGCCTTTCCATCGATGTAACAAACGGTTGCTGGCGTATTAAGAAGCTAGTTAACGTCCAATTTGCTCTCATAACCTTCTCCTCGCTGCAGTCAATAATTCCCACCAGAAAAGACCCTAACTAATGCCCTATTGTTCCCTAAGCCTTTCCATCGATGTAACAAACGGTTGCTGGCGTATTAAGAAGCTAGTTAACGTCCAATTTGCTCTCATAACCTTCTCCGCGATGCAGTCAATAATTCCCACCAGAGAAGACCCTAACTAATGCCCTATTGTTCCCTAAGCCTTTCCATCGATGTAACAAACGGTTGCTGGCGTATTAAGAAGCTAGTTAACGTCCAATTTGCTCTCATAACCTTCTACTCGCTGTAGTCAATAATTCCCACCAGAGAAGACCCTAACTAATGTCCTATTGTTCCCTAAGCCTTTCCATCGATGTAACAAACGGTTGCTGGCGTATTAAGAAGCTAGTTAACGTCCAATTTGCTCTCATAACCTTCTCCTCGCTGCAGTCAATAATTCCCACCAGAGAAGACCCTAACTAATGCCCTATTGTTCCCTCTTTCCATAAGCCTTTCCATTGCTGATGTAACTCTCATAACGGTTCCGCGCTGCAGTCAATATTACCAGAGAAGACCCTTTCTAATTAACGTTCCCCGAATCTTTCCATGGTTGAAACAAACAGTTTCTAGTGTATTAAGAAGCTAGTTAACGTCCAATTTGCTCTCATAACCTTCTCCGCGATGCAGTCAATAATTCCCACCAGAGAAGACCCTAACTAATGCCCTATTGTTCCCTAAGCCTTTCCATCGATGTAACAAACGGTTGCTGGCGTACTAAGAAGCTAGTTAACGTCCAATTTGCTCTCATAACCTTCTCCGCGCTGCAGTCAATAATTCCCACCAGAGAAGACCCTAACTAATGCCCTATTGTTCCCTAAGCCTTTCCATCGATGTACCAAACGGTTGCTGGTGTATTAAGGTCAAGTTTGCACCATAGAAGACCCTTACTAATGCCCTATTGTTCCCTAAGCCTTTCCATCGATGTAACAAACTGTTGCTGGTGTATTAAGAAGCTAGTTAACGTCCAATTTGCTCTCATAACCTTCTCCTCGCTGCAGTCAATAATTCCCACCAGAGAAGACCCTAACTAATGCCCTATTGTTCCCTAAGCCTTTCCATCGATGTAACAAACTGTTGCTGGTGTATTAAGAAGCTAGTTAACGTCCAATTTGCTCTCATAACCTTCTCCGCGATGTAGTCAATAATTCCCACCATAGAAGACCCTTACGAATGTCACATTGTTCCCTGAATCTTTCCATGGTTGAAACAAACAGTTTCTAGTGTATTAAGACACCAGTTAACGTCCCATTTGCTCTGATAACCTTCTCCGCGATGCAGTCAATAATTCCTACCAGAGAAGACCCTTACTAATGTCACACTGTTCCCTGAACCTTGGGTGTAACAAAATGGTTCCTCTTGTCTCAACAAACTTGTAACGTCCCGGAACCTGTTCCCTCAACCTACCCTACGTTTCAGCCAACGGTTCCTGCTACATAACAAACGAGCTTAAGTGCAACAACGTCCTACGTTCAGTAAATGCGATGACCTGTCAGGCGTTTACTGGTCTATTGATTGTCAGCTTTGTTTACTGGCCGTCGTCGCAGGGCAGTACTGCCGTGCTGCGTCAGGCAACGAACCAACACCTGCGTTTTTAATCCAAATTGCGTGATTGGCGGGTACAACCGGTTGGGTAGGACATGCTTACCTTTTGTAATCGCTGATTTTCAGTTTCCAATTCATACGCTTCCCCTCAAGTTTACCTTTTAGCTCACCCGAATCTAGTATAATCTAGACTGATTATTGTTTGGCGTTGACGTTTATATTTCTCTTTTGCCTTGTAATTTGACCAGAGACTTTCGTTAAAGGTTTTCTCTAAAATGATGGGATTTTATAAGCCTTGGTTAATCTATGAAAAACACCGGATACATAGAATGCAATAACAAAAAGGAGGGCAAGGATTAAATACACCTTTAAACAGGTCTACAGTTTGATATTTACGTTGTGTAACAGTAACTTTTATAAGAAACTGAAGAATAAAGCCAGTTCTGAAACAAAACCAGTTTCGTTTCTTACATATACGAACAGAAAAATCTCCATGTTCGCTATTACCCTCCGTCTATTTTTTTAAATGATAAAAACCTTAGGCTCTTGATACGTGGTCACGTTGATCAAATATTCCACGCGGAACGAACGCCAATAAACGAATTATGGACCTCGTAGATTATTTTATTGCCAAGAAATACACGAAGGAGACAGAACAGGCCGTCAATAATTGTTTGACGTTCAGGTTTTGATTCACCACAATAATCAATTTTCTCCCTACAACTTGATAACAGCGTTACGGGGGCTCTATCGAAAGCATCAATACCAAGGACAGGTAGTTTCAGTTATGTTCTCTGCTTTTTTTAGAAAGTGCATTAAACTATTTAACGGCTGGCCCAGAGAAAGGTCAAGTGAAACGCTAACAAAAGACTTTTATCCGAAGGAAAAGCCTTTTAATTTTCAATTCAAAACAAACACCAAGTTTCAGAATTTAAAGTCTGGGAACTCGAGTTTGGTACTAACTTATTTTAAACAATGTTAGGCATGTAGCTTTTCTCACTGTGCTTCATGTAATATGATCTGTGAGTCCGGTAGCATGTACGGCTACACTTACGTAGAAAACATAATGGATTCTACGACCCTGTTACTGTAAGTTGGACAGATGGGAGTGCTGAACCTTGAATTCGGAGTGCTTCTTGTGTTAAGCTATATTCAGTTCTCGTATTTCTTGTTAGAAAACGTGTCTATCTGCTTTGTGTTGATGTACTTGTATTGTTGAAGTTACAACACATGGCTGTCTCTGAAGTTCAGATTTTAAAGTTCAATTTATTGTCGATCCTAAGTACAAACATGTAACATTGAAGCAAACGAATATTGTATTACAACACTTACGTGGAAAACAATGAATTCTACGACCCTGTTACCGTAGCTTGGTCGAATGGGAACTTTTGTTAAATTAGTTCTCGTATCTCTTGTTAGAAACGTTTCTACCTGTTTTTTGTTGATGTACTTGTAATGTTGAAGTTAGAACACATTGCTCAGATTTCATTTCAGATTGCTCAAGTTAATTTTATTGTCGATCATAAACACAAACATGTAATATTGAAGCAAACGAACATCGTATTGCTACACTTACATAGGCAACATAATGGATTCTACGACCCTGTTACTGAAGCTTGGTCAAATGGGGACGTTTAATTCTGAGTCCTTCTTGTGTTAAATTAGTTCTCGTATTTCTTGTCAGACAACGTGTCTACCTGGTTTTCATTGATGAACTTGTGTTGGTGAACACTTGGCTGCCTCTTAAGCTCACATTTCAAATCTCAATTTTTGTCGATCATCAACACATAATATTGAAGCAAACGAACATCGTATTACTAAACTTACGTAGGCAACATGATGGATTCTACGACCCTGTTACTGAAGCTTGGTCAAATGGGAACGTTTAATTCTGAGTGCTTCTTGTGTTAAATCAGTTTTCAGAAAACGTGTCTACGTTGATTTACTTGTACTGTTAAACTAAGAACACTGGTCTGCCTCTGAAGCTCAGATCTGAAAGTTCAATTCATGGTCGATCGTAAGCACATTATATTGAAACAAACGAACGTCCTCTGTCCTTACTATTGGGCCAATACTGTCAAATGTATTTGGCAATGGTAGAACGTACACATGAGGAGTAATGATGGGCTAGTGTGAAAAGTCCAGGACAATTTGCCACCACTGAAGACACAAAGGCCACCTACTGGTTTCTGAAAAAGTAATCTGTGACTTCATCATAGACAACAACAATGTGAAACTTGAGGGAAGGGAAGTTTAGCCAGAAGTTGGCATATCCATGGGAACAATCGGCAGTTTCATCTTTTAGGATACATCGTTATTTTGACCAGGGACAATATCAGAATTATAACAGTTATGTCAGTAATAAATCTGAGAATACTAATTGCCTGACAGACCATATGTCATGACACAGTATTATTATGTTAATTATTTTATAATCACCAATATCCAGTATTACTTCAATACTGAAGGTGGGGTGGTGGAACAACCTTGTGCTTAAACCGTTCCCTCGTCACGCTGACGGCCAAGGTTCGATTCCCCACATGGGTACAATGTGTGAAACCCATTTCTGGTGTCCCAAGCCGTGATATGGCTGGAATATTGCTAAAAGCGACACAAAACGTAACTCACTCACTCAATACTGAGAGTACAAGAAGTCCAATCATGACTTTAATGAAGCTCACGGACCTCTGTGTGTAAAAGAATAAAAAAAGATCCACGCATGTTCAATAAGATTAAATAGGAAACATACATTGCGTACTAAATTAAAAATGTCATGTTACAGTTGATAACGCGGATGAAAACTTGATGATTATATATGATTTTCATTAAAAATAGTCCTAACCCTACCGATTCACCCCTGCCTGGCAGTTACATCAGCCACTCCATCTGTAATATGTCAGGAGCTGCTGGTTGTGGACTCACATCCCAGTTTCAGTCCGATTATGACCCTTGGTCTGTCAGCAGTATGTACATTCTCGAATAATTCCACACTCTTTAAACTTTTTGTCACTTGAAACTTACGAGTTGTGATGTCGTTGAAATACATATATGTCATAATATAGTTTCTTTTGCCTATCATATATCATGATATAAATATATAATATGTATATCTTTGAATTTCAAAAGGCAATAAAAATAAAAATGTTAGCGATATTATATATAACACAAACTGCAATGGCGACTAATCAGCACGAAACTTTGAAATTATTTTTCTTGCAACAGAATTTGACTTTATAATTTGAGAAAATAATATGCAGCTTATCTTTCACATTTCATCTTTGAAAATCAACATTTTGAAACATAGTAGGAGTCATGTGATTGCCAATTCATTTCTTACCCCAGTTTTCATTGAACAAAATTTGCACACAGAGATAGACAGCCTCAGATTCCGTATTTGGAATTGATTAAGGGATGGGCGATGGACATAATTAAGGGGTGGGCAATGAACATAAACAAATTGGAAATGCTTTTTTTTCACATGGCAATTAGCCCCCTTCCCCCTAAAATACTAAATGTCGTCATACATTAGTTATTCCCTGAAATGACAGTGGCAATCTTTATTCTTCATTGTATTGAAGGCTAATACTCGTATCACGAACTCTTTCTTACTATTTCAATGTTTGAGTAAATACTATTAGTGATTGACATCATCATAAATAAACGTTTTTATATAGATCTTTGGAATTATAGAGACATATACCAAGTGATGGGGCGTTGAATGCGTGAGTGGCTATGGTTTCGCCGCATTTGACAATATTCCAGTAATATCACGACGGGGTTCATAAAAGTGGGCTTCACACATTGTACCCATGTTGGGGATCGATGCCGGGTCTTTGGCGGGACGAGCGAACGCTTTATCCACCAGGCTACCCCATTGCAAGGATGTTGTCTTGGTCTTTGTGGTTTAACTGTTGTGGTCTTTGTTTTCAGGTGATGGACTTGTCAGTGCGAGTGAGATCAGCGGGGATGAACCAATGTGAATGCTATATCACGGGGCCATGGTTCCATCCATCAACAACGTCCCGCTCTCTGCGAGTAAATGCAAGCTTATCCTCGGGCAAAATCTCTCCGCATGCACACCACGTTTAAACAATTCTCCTGATACTTCATTAAATGATAAGAGACTCGGAACAGATTGATTTCTCCCCATACAACATTTCGAATATCAGTTGTGTCTCAAAGATAGTTTGTTAAACGTTAATGTAGTTACCCATGGCAACAGCGAAACCATCGCCGATCTACCGGGACTTTGAAAAATCAACGTGGCTGAAATGTAAATAACAAATGCCGCATTTATTCAGTCGCCCACAAGAAATAAACATCTTTTTCTATGTGAAACTGTTATTTTTCTTTCATGAAACAATGAGTGCGTGAGTGCGTACATACGTGAGTGAGTGAGTAAGTGAGTGGGTGGATGAGAAAAGAATATATAGGCATTTTACAGCCTCCTCACTTTACAATTACATATATTGTAATGAATGAGTTAAAATTTAACGTCACCTCGGCAATATTTCAGCCATATGGTGACGAGAAATGTTTGAAATACACAATGAATTTTAATTGTTGATGGTGTCTGACACTGACTCCATCTATTGTTGGGAATGTTACTTCGAGTTAGTGAGTGAATTTAGTTTTACGTTGCTTTGAGCAATATTTCAGCAATATCACGGCGGGGGACACCATATATAATATAATCGACGCTTGGTCTTCGGCGTGACGAGCGAACGCCTTAACCACTAGACCCCTTTTAACTTAGATACCCTTATTTTCGAACCTTGGTCTCAGAGCGAACGCCTTAACCACTAGACCCCTTTAACTTAGAGACCCTACCCAACTGTCATTATTTTATTCAGGCAGACTGCTTTGCAAAAGAAAATAATTCGGTTGAAAAACCACATTTTATGTCTGGGTACAGTGAAATTGCGATTGAGTAGTTCGCTTTAAAGTAGATTTGATTTGTATGTTTTAACGACGTCCTATTTATTCTAACTATACGACGGCGTTCTGTAAACAATGGTATGGGCCTCCATCTACGCAGCGACGTACAGATACGCATTTCACGTACGATGACATACAGTCAACCAATCACGAATTCAATTACACGTATCCTACAGATGCACTGATTAATATGAATTGCTATATCCTACCCAGAGTCCCCACTGGGCCAAACGCAGCCATGAGGAGTACTTCATGCATATTTAAACGTTTATATTCCCAAAGAGGTCGTAGACATTATCATCAACACGGTACATGATGCACAGAAAGGGTCTTTTACTGGCTTATGCTTCAGTTCCTGGCATAGTTAAAGATAGGTAACTGAGCAATAATGTCTGTCTGAACTATTTTGGTTAAAACATACTTATAAGTATCAAAAGTTCGCCCTCATCTCTGAAAAATGATTATCACGAAAACACTTATGGTGAAATCGCCATGCTTACGAAATTTAAAAAATGGGCAAACTCTGTGATTTGATTTATTGTGTTGTGTTGGCGTTGACAGGGTCCAGACTATCGAGGTGTCGCACTATTGATAACAACAGGATAACAACAGGAACAATTATCCAGTGGGTAATTATACTAAGATGACAGCGACCTCGTCAACGACCCATAGCCAATGACAAGGAAACAGTTGTCCATCGCCTAAAGCGAGATAGAATTCTGTTAACGTGGGTTCGATTCCCAAAAGTGGTATCTGTCTAAGACTATTGTCCTCCATAATGAAAGCGCCAACCATTCCAATTTTGCAGATGAAATATTTTGTCTTTGTTCAAGTCAATAAAGATGTAGCGTATAAGTGATTTCTGTGGGTAACTGTTTCCTTTTCTGACCTACTGAAGCGCTTACAATACATTGAGTGAGTGAAATATAACAAAGGGGACTTCAGAAATGCCTGCCTATGGTTCTGTCAAGATATGAATATAGTGCCAGTCACTAGGTACTGTTTAATTGCCATCCAAGGGGGTGGGTGGGTGGTGGGTGGTGATTTTCCCCTTACCTTTGGATTTCATGAGTTATGTGCACGCACCCCGAGCCTCCAACCCCCAACCCCCAACCCAATCGTTGTGATGCTTCTTGTATCAAAAGGTGATTCTCTATATATCGGGCACATCACAAAACAAATTTCGTTCCTTGTATATTTCAAGTTAACTATCATGAAAATGTGTGTATGCCTTCTTCTTATCTGTTGAGCGTGGAGTTTTAGCATCTGGTCTGTACACGACGCAATCTCATGTTACCGTTAGCAAGAGAAGAAAGTTGAAGCAATAAACATATGCGACTTTGTTGTATGGTTATTTCTGTCAGTCAGCATCTTTTCAGAGTTTATCAGTTTTCCTTGAAAAATATCAGCGTACCTTTTATATTTGTTTGTTGTGTAACGCAATTGGAGTGAGTGAGTGAGTTTGGTTTTACGCCGCTTTTAGCAATATTCCAGCAACATCACGGCGGGGGACACCAGAAATGGGCTTCACACATTGTACCCAAGTGGGGATTCGAACCCGGGTCTTCGGCGTGACGAGCCAACGCTTTACCCACTAGGCTACCCCACCGCCCCGTAACGCAATAGGATCATCACGGGTTCGGTATAACTTACATATAAATATACCAAAATGTTTGAAGCGGTTGATGTCGTATGTCGTTTCATAACGTCGGTGCCAACCAAAGTGACGTCACGGGTAGTGTAATGAAATCAGACATTAAAGTTAACTAAAATGATGACACGGATTGTGTTGCTAGTCTGTTACGACAGGTGCTGTTATATAGAGAATGCGATGATAGATTAATTAGCTTCAGGGAGAAATACTAATTATGCTTCAGCCTGATTGGCATTGTTTTGTCTGTGTACGACCGCTGCCTAGCAACATGACTTTATGAACTGCGATGTCGTTAATAATGAAACAAATGATTTTAAGGGACAATGCGCTTGCTCAGCGAGGTCCCATTTGCAATTGTAAAATTAACTTGTTCTCATACTTTCACGAGCAGTCAATAAAGGTAATGTTAGGATTAGTCTTATCGAAGATACATTTGTCTTCCCCTGTGAATATATTCAGGAGCTTTTGATAACGTTTTGATTACTATTGGTCAGATTATCCATATATCTCGGATTACACGTGAATCAATAAAGTGTGTCCAGGGTCATTGGTTCTGGTGGACAGTGAGGTGCTTGAAGTGAGTGGGTATAGTTTTACGCCGCACTCCAGCTATATGGCGTCGGTCTGTAAATAATCGAGTCTGGACCAGACAATCCAGTGATCAACAACATGCGCATCGATCTACGCAATTGGAATACGATGACATGTGTCAACCAAGTCAGGGAGCCTGACCACCCGATCCCGTTAGTCTCCTCTTACGACAAGGATTGGCTACTCAAGATCAACTTATATATATCCCGGATCTTCTTGGGTCACGTGGTTAAATCGTTGGCTCAGACCAAGGTAGTGTAAAAGGTTGGTCTTCTGATCCAAGAGGATTCCACGCCAGACGGTCACAAGAGGCTGGTCGTTAGAAACTGGATCGAGAGGTCAGGCTTGGTTTTATATCAGGATGTATTATTATAGGATATTTATATAGCGCACATATCCACGCACTAGTGCTTAAGGCGCTGATATTTTTTCCTTCGATCATTGGATGTCAATCTCAACGGCACATCGTATTATCAATCTCAACTCCCTGGGGATCATACAACTCTTGCGGCAACTAGGCGCACAGAGTTATTGTGGCTTTCTCATCCTAACGAGGTACCCATTCACAGCTGGGTGGACTGGGGCACATAGTAACAGTACTTTGTCCAAATTCACTGCACGTTGCTATAGGTGTTTGCACGTATTCATGTGGCCACCATCTGGTCATTTACTAACGGATTCGTGGGTTCTTTAAAGTGCACAGGGTTGTGTACTGTACACTAGGGGTTGTGACAACACTGAAAGAGTCTGCACACAAAGTTGACTCCAAGGTTTTTACACCCGGTCACAGGTGGGCTCGATCTCGGCACCTCCAAGCTCCCTGGATTACTAGTCTGGCGCCTTAGTCAGCTCGCCCACCGCGCCTCCGGTAACAGCAATACTTACAGAACCTGCCTTGTCCCACAACTTCTTGAAAGCAAAGATTGCCAGTTTGTCAACAAGGGGAGGTAACTCCAAATTCTTCTCACTAGCTCCTGCTGACAGGACATTTTTTGGAGCTTCGATGATTTGCTGCCACTGACAATCACTACTAACAAACTTTGTATCTACTGTCGCAAACCATTTCAAGACAAAAGCAGTTTGAAAGCTGTGAAAATGTTTTAAACAATCCCAAATTGACAACAATGAGGATGGATTGTTGTTCAGAATGTCAATAACTTGTTTACAAGGACCCAGTCAGCTTCTTAAAAAGATCCAAGTTAGAATTGGTCTTCAGTAACCCATGCTTGTCGTAAAAGGCGACTAACGGGATCGGGTGGTCAGACTCGCTGACTTGGTTGACACATGTCATCGTATCCCAATTGCGTAGATCGATGCTCATGCTCTTTTTCACCGGTCTGTCAGGTCCAGACTCGACCGTCGCCATATAGCTGAGTGCGGCGTAAAACTAAACTCACTCATTCACCCACTTGAAAAAATGTTATACTAAGGGATGTGAAGAAAGAGTACTTACATCCATTTATCCATATTTGCACCACAATGATGGTAGAATAGCAGTCAATAAGAAATGGTCTAGTTTGATCAATAGGAAACAACCGATTGTTTGATATTCACAGCCATACTGCCAATTCCTTACCATAATGACATTCAAACCGAAACACTATTTCACATTTTCTTAGCCCACGACCTGTCTCTGAGGTAGCGATGGCGACTTGGATATTGGTAAATGGAAAATTGGCATTTCGACACGGCGGGTTTGAGCTCACACGATTGAACCAAATAACGCATATACATAATAATAAAAAAGTAAGTTCGAGATTTGTTTCCTTTAACTAGTACTCACCTCCAAACCCAACTGCAACTCACCTCCAATACTCCACCCCAAATCCGAGATACCCCCTCCCCTCTACTCAGTCCCGACCATGGAATTTCAAATAGTTGGTCCCTTGGCACTAGTCTGATTACCATTTGCTCAGGAACACTTTTAAACAATTGTTTCGAGTATAGAGTGCAAGATCAATCATTTCAAATGATGGCAACATTGGAACGAACAGTGACCAGAGGCGATGGGAAACGGCGCTATCGGAATGGCATGGAGTCAATTGATAATGCTGTAAGGCAAAGTCCAAGTACCGAACAATTGTGGAGACCAACAGCGTCAATTGTAGTGATGTATCTCGTCAATAACAATAAATCATTATTTATGAATGATCATTAATGAACGTGGATGACTATAACATTCATTTATGGCTCTACCCAATGAAATGTAATGGTCGTTTGGAAGTTCAGATTGTTTACATCTCACCTCCACCTTTAGCAGGCATGTGAGGCAATTAGCTAAACGGAATGTGAGACACTTTCAAATTATATAGCGATGAATGTTAGTGCTCCGGTGCTGGGGAAGAGACAAAACTGTCGCTGATGGTTTTTTGGTAAAGCCTACGAGCATGGACATTGTGTCCTTGACCATGGTCACAACGATGACAAAACGACTAATAATTCGAACACAGATATATTTGGTAACCATGGCAATGGAAAAGTCACATTGACCTTCAACCAGGTCAGTTACCCCAACCACCTCCGTTGTCCCGAAGCTACAGCGTCTGTCCATTGACGGGAAGGTCAGTGACAACGGGTCAGACGTCACCGGAAAGATGGTTTGTTGACGTCTGAATGACGTTCGGTATTAATGGAAGCCTGGTCACCTTTCAGTCAGCATGATGTGAACTGCGGGGGGTGTCCACGGTATCTCGGTTGGTTAGCACTATTAAGTGAGTGAGTAAGCTAATCTTTAACGTCACATCGGCAATATTTCAGCCATATCGGGACGAGAACATGTTTGACATTGAAATGGAACATGTGGATATTATATAAACCTGTCGTCAAAGGACAGTAAAACAACTAGAATATCACAATTAGAATTAAAACTAGCGTGGAAAATTAAAACTAATCTTACTATTTGGACAATACAATATAAAAACAGGCTATATATCACCAACAACTGAAGGTAGATCACCATACTAGGGACCATGGGGACTTACAGTACCTTTGCTACCTGCATGGACCCTAATTGGATTTACACCATCCCTTCAGCTGCTGGCGATTGTAAGAAATGTTAGCCAAAATTAAAATAACAAGAATACTACGGTTAAAAATCCTGGTAAGTTTAAATTGACTTTGAAAGTTTTGGGACTTGCGTACCTTCTCAGGAGGACAATAATTTTACAATACTTCAACCCTCTTTGAGGGAACAGCCACTAACAATCCCAGTTACTAATCTAAGCTACTAATAATAGAATACCTATCTATTTACAAAAGATTTTTTAAATTTATCTAGCAATTCTATTTCGTTAGCACTATTAAACCGGCTGAAGTCCAGAATTGCGCAAACAGGCAACATGCAGTGTTTAAATGCGCTCTGAATTAGTGCAGTAATTGTACACACAACATCAAACCCAATGTCGGTTGAATGACTTTTCAGAAACACGCAGGGTCATTATTGGTTTGGAGGAGGGGCGGGGGCTAGTGGTTAAAGCGTTCGCGGGTCATGCTGAAGACCCGGGTTCGATTCCCACATGGGTACAATGTGTTGAAGCCCCTTTCTACAGCTGGAATAACGGCGTAAATATAAACCATTTTTTGTTTTGCCATTTGTGTCCAATGGAATCTGTTTCAGCGGTTGATATGAACTTGTTCTTCTCTCTGGTGTTCCATGTTCGACAACTAGTCAAGTCAAAGATGTTTATTGTACAAAAGGCCTCCGGCCCATATACATTGGAGTTATACATATACATTATACATATGGCGCAATAAGTAGTAATTAGTGATCCAAACAGCAAATCATGATACAGGCAGTAAATTATGTACAAGTAGTGAAATACGATGGACCTACAACCCTTTTTATCAGATTGTTACGTTTAATAAGAGCATAATTGATATAGTACGACAGCTTTATTATTACATGCTGGTCAGTTGATGAAAGAAGTAGTTTAAATGCTAATGTAGGTGGCTTACGTAGATAATATTCAGCTATATATTTCGTACGCAAATCTTTATACAAAGGACATACAAGTAAATAACGGATTTCATTTTCCACATCTATATTACACAGTGGGCACATTCTCTTGCATCGTTCAATATAAAAACGTCTTCCTTCGTTACTAAGTAACTGGGGATATGAAAACGCTCTTTAGGTAGCACCATTTGACTTTGACTTCAGTCGCTTTTCGTCATCTAAAGCCAACTCAATTAGTGAAACGGATGTGCATACGCTCTGCGGTTCATTCAAACAAACATTGCTAGTTCCCCATCCACTTCCCACTGAAAGTTCACCTAAAGTAAAGTTCACCTATTGTATACACTTCTACACCAGACACAATACCACACATTTCTCCTACGCACAAGCTCTCGGGGATAGTTAATCAGATCTTTCATTATGTACTGCAATATCAATGTAAGACGCTTCCAAACTGGCTGTTTTACAATATAATCGTGGTATTCCAGCCTCAAGACAGCTGATAAAGAGTGCCGTATTAATGACAGCTGATGAAATATTTAGTGCAATATTTTTTCGACACAATAGGCCCAATGCAAAGAATCAGTTCAATGAAGGATCATGCACATTTCAGTGCATTTACAGTCTGCACAGAATTGCAGAACATAAATGAGGTTTTTAATGGCTTATGGCCTTTGACTGCTTTTCAGACAAGCAGACAAGTAATAGACCGTGTTTTGTTGTGTGCCTTCTAATCTCCTCTGTTGAAGAGGAATGCTGAGTGACATTAACAATTCTCGTTCAGGGCTAACTGACGTGCTGTTCTATTGACGTGTCTGCCCTCCTACGTTAAGACGCATGTTACCAAGAAAACAAACGACAAGAGTTTGAAGACGGTTTAGTTTCGGGTTAAAAATCTTCGCTTTATTATTTTAATTAAATTTTAGATTATCGTATATGGGGCAATATGAATGTCGCATTTCCACTTCCAATATAAGTTTAGATCAGTACATCCAAATGAAGCTGACAAGTCACGTGGCATTTCACGGACAGTGTGGGACTGTGTACATAGGCTTTGTCAGCGAACATTGCTGTGTCGCATTTTAATTCAATTTGTAAGTCAGGCAGAGACAGTTTTTCCATTCTATAAAGTTATGTTATTCTTAAAAACGTAATGTTTTCACCAGTGATGTTAGTAGAGAGAAGCATCTGCAAACAAAGTAACGGGTTGCGACGGAGTTAGTTGTACTGTAGGAGACAAGGAAATGGCACCTAGCATCGTTGGTTACCAAAGGTACGTTTGATTACGAGGGGGCAGACCAGAATGGCGTAGTGACGTCAATACAGTGTGACGTAATGCAAACAGTGCAGTTGATCTTTTTGCATCTTAGAAATTAATATAATCAAATTGAACAACTCCCGTATTTAATTTCCAGTACATACAGAAAGCAGGTGTATATTTCTCCCTGCACTGGTCCCGTCTGCAGTGTTTTAATGCTTTCTAAGGGCGCATGATTACGTCTATTAGACACAGTATACTCAATCCCAGGCAGGGTACCATCTGTTAGCATGTTTTGGTGTGACGCTATTGGGGAACAACCAATAACGGGGTGGAGGTTCTACTGAAGTACACTGCTCCAGCCGTCAAGATACAGGTTTGACATTCGACATAAAAGAAAGAAAAAAAAGAGGAAACAACTACAACAAAAATGAGTCTCATGTACTCTTAAAAAGGGGTTTATGACTTATATATGCTAATACCGAGTATTAGAACAAAGATTTTGTTGACGACATGCATTATCTTGCAGAATCCAGGACGTACAGCGCCAAAACACATCGAATAGTCGAACGTGGCGCGTGCGTTTGCACGGGTGTAATTCTTGATGTTCGTCTTATTGATTCTGCTGTCAGACAACTGCGATTGATATGATAGTTGTTTGTGTGTGAACTAACGATGCGATGCTTGCCATGCGCGTAGGGTGTACAGCTTATTGACATTCTGGAAATTTGCAGAATTCAGCACGATGTGTTACGTTAATCACACTCTCTGATTAGCAGACCATGGGACAGGTACGAACAAACCCAAAATTGTGACGACCGACCCTGTTCATGGCGACAAAAGAGTGAAGGATCAATTTCGCCGAAACAATGTTCACCAAGACCGTTCGCGTTACGGGTCAGGCGATTAGAAATCGTGAACACATTTCCATGCTAAAGGTCCACGTGATGTCAATAGTCAAACTGCCAATAGTGTACATACAATCGTAACTGGAACATCGTCGGTGGTCAAGTGTCATGTTTTCGGAGATCAACAACATATGTTAGCGTCTAGTGAATGAGTGAGTGCACGCGTGTTTTGGGTATGAGTGAGTGTGTGCGCTTTGAATGATTGATTGAGTGAGTGGGTTTAGTTTTACGCCGCACTCAGCAATATTCCAGCTATATGGCGGCGGTCTGTAAATAATCGAGTCTGGAGCAGACAATCCAGTGATCAACAGCATGAGCATTTGAATGATTGATGTTGGGTGATAGTTAATGTGTGAGTTACTAATGCGTGAGTAGAGTGAGTGATAATGAGTGAGTTTTCACCGGGCCTTTGATGCGAAGAACAACGACTTTCTGACATAGGGATTCCAACCGGCCCCAAAGGACACATAACATTAACGTGGATTTACTGTGTATATAAAGACATTCCATATTGAAATCTAATTTATTTGGGGGCGGTGGGGTAGTATAGTGCAAGCGTTGGCTCGTCACGCCGAAGACCCGGGTTCGAATCCCCACATGGGTACAATGTGTGAAGCCCATTTCTGGTGTCCCCCGCCGTGATATTGCTGGATTATTGCTAAAAGCGGCGTAAAACCAAACTAAGTCAGTCAGTCAGTCTAATTTATTTGGAAAAAATGTCATTGACTCCACGCTTATGTTGCAAAAAGACAAATAAACCGCATTATAAGGAAAAATAGTCTTTTATTTGCATTGTAAAAGAAAAGAAAGACTTTATGGCGACGTTCAGAACACCGTCTGTACTAATGAATATGGCATCACTGTACGTATGTTTTGCATGTGATGGTAGGGATGCAATGTAAATCCTCCAAGAATCCATGATGTCACTTGTTGAAATGCATAGCACCATTCTATGATATACAGTATACAGAAACGTGATATCGTGGGTCCAGCAATTGCACGCTGCTGTTTGTAACAGTTTGACGAGAGGTTTCACGAAGAGGTTTCACGAAAAGGTTTCACGAATCGGTTTCACGAATCAGATCCTACTGATACTGAATTCTCTTCTTCAGCTGTGACATTTCCTCTTCGTCGACCAAGCCATCGCCTAAGAAGAATTGATTATGCATCAATGAAAACATATAGTATCCAGTTAAGTCAAGGCAAGAGAAGGCAAGGTAGTTTGCAATCAAGTCTCACATGCATGATGCGACTTTTCGGTATAGATCGTTATACCGTTGGGTGATCTGTACCGAAACGTCTCATCATGGCATATATCTCAAAAGAACTTGAAGAACACTCATTTTCTCAAATGACTGTAATACAAATGACATCACATGTTAGTTATAATCATTTGAAGAAATCGGATGTCCTTAAACTTCTTTTATAATCAAGTCGTTATCCATAAAATAAAAAGGTTTTGTTGTTAAGAGGACAACAAACACAACACAACATATGTGTTAAAATTATGACTGAAATTATATTATATCTCAAAGAATCTGAGACAACCTTACCCATCCAAACCCACACCTACCCTTCATTGTATAGTCCTACACCCAATGAAGCATATGTCCTCGCTTAAAGCGGTCAACCTATCAAGATGAAATATGAAACTGGCTATTTCTGGGACGTTACACTGATCTGGATTTATTATCAAACGTTATCGTCATCCCCGTTGTACTCATCCCTCTGAAATCTGAAACTATCTCATCTATGGTAATCAAAGAAAATCATTATTTTTCTGATCCACACTGTGTACATTTGTGAAATATATTTAAGCCTTCGAATCAGCTCTGTAAAGAGGTATGTGAACATAACTATAGCTCATAACAAATGTGTCAGTGTTCGGTTACCAACTGAAATTTCAAACTGAATATTCTGTCTTCAGTCGCTTATTGAACATCTGCGAGATGTATTAAAGTGTGTAATAACATCTTGCACGGATCTATATTTCAAATTGCGAAACTTACCATTCCTGTCAATGTATCCTCTGATTATTCCTGCAAGAAGTCTTGGAGAACCAGACACTAGTTCCCTCATTTCTTCAGTGGTGTACAAGGGCCTTCAATGATATTAAAACAATATTAAATCATACATAATGGTTTGTCTTCAGGACAGCAGCATCGGCTCGGTATGGTATTTGACTACATTTAATCAGTGTAATGGCATATTAAGTTCAAATGACTTGAACACGTTGCAATCCAATTCTGGAAACCCCAAAGTCAAGAAACTTTCCGCACTGTGGCCACTTTCTGACAAAGGATTTGACAAAATTCAACATGCAGTTGTCATGATTATATCTTAAGGTTGAAAAAATGAAAATGTCTTTTTCAAAGACTCAAAATTTAAACTACAGTGGCACATGGATCAGCCCATTGGTGAGAATGTTTAGTTTCGTTCAGAATTCATGTTTTGGAGGTTGTAATTGAATGAAAGTATGTTTATACGTATCATAACACAAAACTTAACTCATTGTTACTAATTCGGCTTATTTAGAGCGATTTTAAAACATCTCGCCCAAGGGCGAGAATTTCTCCTTTTTGTTCAAAATTCATGTTTTTTTCAGATTTTGGAGGTTGTAAATGAATGAAAGTATGTTTATAAGCATCGTGACAAAAAATATTATAATAATTATTATTATTATTGGATATTTATATAGCGCACATATCCACGCACTAGTGCATGCTCAATTCGGCTAATTTAGAGTGATTTTAAAATATCCCGCCCACATACTCGGGGCGGTGGGGTAGCCTAGTGGTTAAAGCGTTGGCTCGTCACGCCGAAAACCCGGGTTCGATTCCCCACATGGGCACAATGTGTTAAGCCCATTTCTGGTGTCCCCCGCCGTGATATTGCTGGAATATTGCTAAAAGCGGCGTAAAACTAAACTCAGTCAGTCAGTGTTTCATACTCGCTGGTATTGTTAAAATCCTTTCGCTAAAACATTGTTTTTCTTTGGATATGTGGAAATGGATACGGACAAACGGCTTACTCATTGTAAGTAATATATATTTTATGCTCTGTTTTTTTTGGCGTGATGACAAGAGACCCGGGAAATTCATTTTGAAAATGATAGAAATTCGCAGTGTAATAAACATGGATGGTACAGAAGATGGAGGAACGATTTCCGACAAATCAGTCTTGTTCTTCCAGGATTTTAACACACGATGCTGAGACTCTGGCACACATTGGGGATGTACCTCCATTTTTGGAGTCATACTGTACTGGACATTTCAGTTAATATTAAAAATGGCATTTAGATAACAAGCTCTGTGTGATGCCTTTTCTTGTCTGATGACCAAGTCAAACGGTAATCAGATGGATTCGGATTTGTCGAACTATGGATAAGTCGAACTAGTTATCTGTTCAACTCTACTTCTTTAAACCGTATTTAATGATTATCTTACCTTATTTTACCATTCATTCTTTCCATTTCCGTTGAACTTCTTTTCCCATAAAATCGACCCATCCTATCAAATATTGTCGACCGTTTTGCTTCCACAGTGGACAGGCTATTGTATAGATCTGACCCCTCGGGAACGCCTCTGCGGAAGGACTGTGACAGTGACAGCAATGTTGCCACAACAACACACACCTGGATCGAATTCCGAAACTGCATAGTGCTGTGTCTGTAAAGTAAATACACCAATTGAAAAGTTGAGCAATGAACGTCATAAAATGTATGTCAACAAAGTGAGTGAGTGAGTATAGTTTTACGCCGCTTTTAGCAATATTCCAGCAATATCACGGCGGGGGACACCAGAAATGGGCTTCACATATTGTACCCATGTGGGGAATCGAACCCAGGTCTTCGGTGTGACGAGCGGGTGCTTTAACCACTAGGCTATCCCACCGCCCTGTATGTCAACAAAGAAACAGGTGACGGAATATGTCATAAAATATATAGAAACATGTTTGCATCGATGTGAACTGGTAAAATAAACGCGATATGACCTTTTTCATAATCTTGAATAAGACCCCATTTTGCGATCATGTTTTACTGATATAAAAGTTATTGTTTTGCGTATGAATTGGAATTTTCTTTTAGATTTGGGAATCTAATTTGGGAAGAAGGCTTACTTGAGTGAGACAGTGAGTGAGTGAGTTTAGTTTACGTCGCACTCACCAATATTCCAGCTACATGGCGGCGTCTGTAAATAATCGAGTCTGGACAAGACAATCCAGTGATCAATAGCATGATCATCGATCTACGCAATTGGGATACGATGACAACACAGTCACCGAGTCTGACCGCCCAATCCCGTTAGTCGCCTCTCACGACAAGCATGGGTTACTGAAGATCAATTCTAACCGGTATCTTCATGGGTCAGTTTACGTGAACTCTGGGTATGTCGATGGCAAGAACTAATAGCTATCAGTGAAACCATCTCATCCCTTTAATATTTAAATCTACGAAAAAAAGATTCAGAGTAACAGGAAACTGACCACGAGGTTTGATCTCGAGAGGGATGCCTTTAACTTCCCAGTTGGCAACCTATCACTTCTGACAGTGTATCCATCCTTTGCATGAAATGTAGGATGTACGAGGAAATATAATAGCTTTAAGTGCAGTCGACTCATAAAATGTAAAGAGACAATCAACGGATTCGACTGTTGACAACCTGTTTGGGCATTATAGTCACATGGCATTGTCGTGCACAACAGTCGGCGCTGCCATGGTCACAAGAGTGAGTATGGTTTTACGCCGCTTGGGGAGTATTCTGGGGACACTTCATACATTGTACCCATGTTTGGTTTCGAACAAGTCTTCAGCATGATGAGCGGACGCGTTACGCTTTAACCACTAGGCTAGTCCACACACACACACACACACACACACACACACAAACACAAACAAACACACACACAACAAAAAACCCACAAACAACAACACACCCCACCTCATGGCCACAAGAAAGGAAGATTGCGAAATGATACAATCCATTTGGAAGATCACGATATATATCCCACTACATGTGATTGCCAAGACTCATCGTATTGCTACCAACCTAGAAAGTCGTAATGTCACAGGTGACTCCTCTACTGTTGAGAATAACAATATATTCAAATATGGACCACAATACCCTTAGCAACCTCCTACCATAAGAGAACAGGAACACGTTGAGAGCCTTTCAGAAGTCAGTGCATGATGTTGTCATGGTAAAATGCACAAACCGAAAAAGCGACAACAGAATATACCAATTCCGTCCAGACAACTGCCATGTAAAGTTGGACTGACCAACGTGAAAGATGTGTACATTTCCCCACTGACAAGGCCCCGATTAACCTGACCATCATATGTAATCTGTGAATAAATTAATTGTTTCGTCAAAAGGTTTGGTACAAGTGACCTATAAAAAATACCACGTTTAAGTGAGGTGAGGTGAAATTGGGTTTAACGTCGTGCTTGAGAATATTTCGCTCATATGACGACGTGCATGCGTGTGTATGTGTATGTGCGGCTGCTTGTACTAGCCCAGACTTAAGCTGGTTTTATAGTGCTAGCCCACTGAGATACCATGCCGCGGTTTAGAATGAATACCCCACTCAGACACATTATACTGACTCCGAGCCAACCAGTCCTTGTTGTACCCATTAATGCCGAGCGCCAGGCAGGGAGCAACAAGTACCATATTTTAACGTCTTTTGGTATGACGCGGTCGGGGATCGAACCCGCGACCTTCCACTCTCCGGGCGGACGCTCTAACCACTACACCACGGAGGCGGTACGTTTAAGTGAGTGAGCATTTGAGTAACGCAGCATCAGCAATTTTGCAGCTATTCGCGACGACCTCACATATTCGCAGCCAAAGCCAGTGTGTTAACTGAGGAAGATATATGCCCAACCCATTCATCAGTAGTATCATAACATTTGGCTTGACATGTTCATTTGCCTTTCAGGATGGATTGGAAAAAATCTCCAACAAATTCGGTAAACAGCTTATGTACCACCAAATCCCTGTCTCAAAGATTAACCATGATCAATAATTTGATTCAGGATGGACTTTCTTTATATTAACTGTAAGTATTTGAAACAAGGGAAATTAACACTATGTGGATTCTCCATCGAAACTGTACCATAATTATGTTCCTTACAGTTTTTAGTTGATCATGAACATCTGCATGATGGGTGCCACCTATAGGGCAGGATACGCTCAGCATTTCGCGAACACCTGGTATCATCGCTATATGATTGTGCTTCATAGCACATACTCGTGGTATAGTCGAAACCGTACAATCGTGGTTGTGTAATGGGAGGACAAGATGGAACTCACAGGAGAGCCTCAATAATGAAGGCTTAGAAAGTCCTTTTATTGAGACAAATGGAGAACACTTTCGAAATTTGATGCATCAGTGTTAAAAATGATGGTCGAGGACATTCCTTATTTGACTTGTTCTATGTGTTTTTCTGAACAATTGACCTTCCTTTGCGAGTGTTTGTGATGCTGACCACCGATTGGGTAGCATACGTACTTCTTTTCCCAAACACCCGGTGTCGTCACTATGTCTTTTTGATTCATAAACACATATTCATTATATATTCGGGCTCGCGTAATGGTCTTTCCTTTCTGAATGACTATGAAGTAATGACTGCAGTGACGAAAACGTAAACGTATTTTGTCCCATCTGTTACAGAGAATCTAAACAATTTGTTCATGGGATTTAAATATAAGTAAAAAGCCATTTAAGTTTGATAGAAAATTATCGACACATTTTCACAGACATGAGTGTGTTTTAAAAGTGATCCAAACAATTCCGTCAAAAGAATATAAAAGTGAAAGTAGCTTGAATTGATAACAGTCTGGGGACCAATAATGCGTTTAAATATCCAAACAGATATTATTTGAGGAGATATCCAATCACTTTGAACACAGAAACGAAAACCAGTTGCATTGAATTCAATTACCAAAATAATACAGCTCCCCAAGTAAACAATCAAACGCTAAGCCACCGCGTGTAGGACATAGATGATAGAGTGATATACTAAATCTCTTACTTGTTTCCAGCCGTGTAAAGCAGCGTCGTTGATGATAGCCTACAACACCCTGATGCGACAACGACTGTGAGAAGGACCCCGGTAGTCTGTATTTACTCTCTACCTGAGTTATAAATTATTTACTGATGTGGGCGGTCACTTCCTCATACCTGCGTGGAAACATACGCCTGGCAGGAACCGCATAATCCCTCCTACTCTGGTATTGATCCAAGGGTGACAATGGTAATGGCACACGCTCTTCCAATGGGAACAATTGGCTTCACATGATGAAACAACACCGTTAAGAGTCACCGGACTATAACTCATCCCGGTTCGCGTTGAATTACGTTAGCGCTGACGACATCCTCTTCCCCTTTTTCCAAGAATGACCAACCGGTGGTTGAGGTTCACATGATAGAACACTATAAGAGTCACCGGACTTTAACCACCCATCCGGGTTCGCGTTAGATTCTGTTAGCTCTGATGACATTCTCTTCCCATTTGTCAAAGAACGACCAACCGTTGGTTGACGTTTTCGAGAAATGTCGCGTCTCGAATTACAATGGGTCATGCACAACAATGAATAATGAAACATGATGCATTTACTTAAGAACAGGTTTGCTTTTGCTAATTTGTACATGTTTTGTTGGCAAGTCTAAATGAAAGAAAATATTTTACTACTCGATTTTAAACATTTAACGGATTCTTCTTGAAATAACCCATATCAGCTCAGTTTACGCAGATGCGTATAAACGTGTACGTGGGTAAATGTGCGTGTACATGATTATATTTTTAGAAAGTGATAACTTATTTCTTCACATTACCATGAGTCAGAAGGCTGAAGACATCAGAAGGACATATTGCCAATAATTCATTTGCGTCAGTGGCAACAAACATATTTGATAGTAGGATCTAAAAGTACCTGAGTACTAGCTTTCCCACACATCTACACTGAAATTGGAAACCTGTATTCGGATGAGACTATATCTTCAATCTTTATACCGGTACTCAAAAGGCCTCAGGCCTATAGTACACCATGTACATTTACTTTATACAGGTTCAAGGAACAATTCGCTTTCTATGTACAAATGTGTAGAAAATATACCTGTCCATGTATGAGACTATAAATGGGTATAGTTCGTATTTCAAATTAAACTATCTGAACCGCGGTTGTTACTGGTAGAGTAATCGAATGTTTAATGTACATTTTATGTTAACACCTGCGTTCATCAATGATTTTCAATGATTCATTCATACACATTCAAACATTGTCGGTTACGTCATTTGACATATCATTGAAACTTATTAATCTTTGGCGTTGATGTTTTGAATGTGAATGCATCATACATCCACATAATTTGTACATAAATAGGGCCCGTGAACACGAAGGTGTGTCATATCGCCTTAGGCAAATGACATTATTTAAATCATGGCTCTGTTCACTCAGCATTGAAGAGGTACCCGGTAGGATGGGATGGTTACCTCTGAACCTACAAATGATATATTGGCAGCTTGGGATGTATACTCCGCAGGATGTCGAGAGCACATTAATCCAATCACCGGTGTAATGATTGTGTTGTGTTTTACATAGTATTAGTATTATAATATAATTAATTCTCCTCTTCTTCTTCTTCTTCTTCTTCTGCTTCCTGTTCTGTCATAACACATCATTGCACATCGTACTGACAAGCGACCCGCAATGTTTGTCAAATATCTCTAACGTATATAACAGCATTTTGTGCAAGACTTAGCCAGACATCTGATGCTACAGTATCTGTTGAAAAGTTCTGGTGTTTCTTTCCGTGAAGTTTCATTAAAATGTATGTGCCCGAAAGAACATTAAGACATATAGTCGTCACACCTGAACCTGTTTTGCTGAGCATGAATGGGAGTTTTCCTGTTGCAAAATCGAAAACGAAGAGTTCACTTTGACATTCTGAGGTGAGGTGAGGTGAAATTGGGTTTACGTCGTGCTTGAGAATGTTTCGCTCATATGACGACGTGCATGCGTGTGTATGTGTATGTGCGGCTGCTTGTACTAGCCCAGACTTAAGCTGTTTTTATAGTGCTAGCCCACTGAGATACCATGCCGCAGTGAAGCATGAATACCCCACTCAGACACATTATACTGACTCCGAGCCGACCAGTCCTTGTTGTACCCATTAATGCTGAGCGCCAGGCAGGGACCAACAAGTACCACATTTTAACGTCTTTTGGTATGACGCGGTCGGGGATCGAACCCGCGACCTTCCACTCTCCGGGCGGACGTTCTAACCACTACACCACAGAGGCGGTCATTGACATTCTTATGTGTAAGGATAACCGATCGTTATCATCCTTTAAGGGCATCTCTTCTTTACTTCGAAAACATGATGACAATGATTCTAATGCATATTTACAGATGATAACATCACTGGCACCCTATCATTCAAGCCAGGGAATAGGAAGTTCCTTAATCCGGCAACTACATACATATTCCTAACTTGCGTGGTAATGATGATAATGTGATGATGATGATGATGATGATGATGATGATGATGATGATGATGAGTGAGTGAGTAAGTTTGGTTTTAAGCCGCTTTTAGCAATATTCCAGCAATATCACGGCGGGGGACACCAGAAATGGGCTTCACGCATTGTACCCATGTGGGGAATCGAACCCGGATCGTCAGCGTGACGAGCGAACGCTTTAACTACACCCCTGCAAGATGTCTAAGATCCCAGAATAAGCACTTACTTACAGTCCCTAAAGTCAGACTTGTCTCTTGTGGTCACAGGACCTTTGCCTACACTGCAGCATTGCTTTGGAATTCACTGCCAGCTGACGTCAAATGTGCCGAATCACTGAACTCTTTCAAGTCCCTTCTAAAAACCCATTACTTCTCCATAGCTTTCTGTTAGATTTTGTCTTCCTTTTTAACTCCAACTATTTGTAATCTCCTGTATACATTGTACATAGATTTAGCCTTTTATAGCACCTTGAGCGAGCATTGAATGCACGGATACAGGCGCAGTTATAAATACCTACTATCGTTATTATTATGTTTTACAGATTAAGATGAAAATGCAGCAGAGAGGGTTCGGGTGATCCTGGCACAGTCAGGCTGGTAAGGCTCATCATCAGCTCAGGGCCCTCGCCCCCTCTACACGCAGCCCAGACAGCGAATGGGACTTCTCCCAGGAAACACTGCCTAGTCGAACCCACCAAGAACTTTCCGGAGAATATGAAGGCTCCTCAACACTGCAGCCTTCTGCATTACCCAGAGTGTCAGAAGGGCTGTACTCCCGGTGGAAAACCCGGGCACTCTCCTGATCTGCGCCAAGAGATCAGGAGGTACCAAACCAAGGGCACCGAGAACAATGGGGAGCCTGACAACAGTGTACTTGAGATGCAAGGGAGACATTTCAAAGGCGAGGTCCGCATATTTATCATGCTTTTCCTGAATCTTGTCAATCACATTGCTGTCAAAAGGGACAGAAAATTCAATGGTATAAATAAATTCATTGGCTTTATCAAAAAGGACAAGATCAGGTTTGTTGGCAGGAATTCTTCTGAGGCTGTATATGGGCCTGTTCCACAGAAGTTTGAAAGCATCATTTTCCATGACGCCCTGGACATGTTCAGGTTCGTACCATGGATGGACCTCGGAGTCAAAGCCACAGGCATGGCGTAGACGGTAGTAAAAGCAACGAGCCATGCCATCATATCTCTTAAGATATGCTGTTTGTGCCAAGGAAGGGCATCCACTGACAAGGTGTTGGACAGTCTCTGTAAATTCATTACACAGTCGACATTTCATATTGATATTTTCTTTAAGAATCACATTTTGGCGATTACGAGTGGGAAGTGACTGGTCCTGAGCAGCAAAAAAGGAAGCCCTCAGTTTCACATTTGAGACCAGCCGATTTTATCCAGGCGAAGGAGTCGGTGGGGTTGCTATTCTGTTCCACACACTGCATGTACACACGAAAAGACCGACTCTGGGCAGACTTGGAGAAGGACTTCACCTGGTTTACTCCCATCGCTATACCGTCCAGCAGTACATCGCCATCAGCAAAATCAACCTCAACTATCAGATTCTTTCCAACAACCTTGGCACGCTTAAAATAGCTGTGGAATTCCTTGCTTTCATCATGAGTCCTGACATGCATCACCAGAGGATCATCCGATAAATAAATATGTGCAAAAGTACACAAAAGAATTCTATCATGAAGAGCCTCCACATTAATCAAACCCCGACCTCCAGAATTGATTGGCATATATAAACGGTTGAGAGAGGAAAGAGGGTGGTGGGCTCTGTTATCAGACATGATCAGGCGGTCAAGACTCTGAATGTCTTGTTTTGTCCAATCAACTACTCCAAAGGAATAGGAGAGGACTGTAAGTATTGGTGGCCTTGACCTTGTTTCGAGTACATGTATTGTGCTCTGAGCTCCAGATTTTCTTTAAGCGAGATTTGTACTCGGCCCGAAGTTTTCGTATTATTATTATTATATATTTAACTACTAGGCTACCCCACCGTCCCTTGATGATGGTGATGATGATGATGATGATGATGATGATGATGTTGATGATGCTATTGATGTTGATATGATGGTGTCTATTGGTTATATTTCAAGATACAATGTTTCTTTCTGATTGAAACATAATCTCCTTTTTGGCATTATGAAAATCGTTTTATAACTTACCACGAGTTACTCGTACAAACCGAAAAATAAAAACATCTGTTCACGGCTTGCAGCCTGTTTTTTAAGTGCATTGAATGATTCATATTGATATTAGCAAAACCTCTCTGCAGTTGTTTACCACATATTACGTTTTGAAGAGACTTCCCGATTGTTATCATTTAACCACTGGTTTGTTTAACTCGATTTGGGAGCTGTTGCCAGAACATTGTGAGTACTTGTAAATTAAAGCCACAGTGCGTTGGGCCCTGGGGACCATGAAAGCTGGACAGCTTCAGAGCCAGATAGAGCCTACAGTTTTATGTTTGACATTTCATCGATATGGTTTTGATGGAACCATTTATCAAGGAGCAAACACTGCTAGCAGACAGCAGATTGGTAAAACTGACAAGAACATAAAAGGGGAGCTAGGTCGTGA